CCTACAATTTACTCTAACCTCACATTCTCTTTGTGCAGGAAACCTTTGCCGAAGTGAAAATTTATCAGCTAGGTGTTTTTTCTGTGTTGTCATGCTTAAAGAAAGAAACATTTACTGTTCCAAAAGTAGGACTCTTACAAAAGCTGAGCGTGGATTCTAGAATCTCTTTCTATTACCCTCCAGAAACGTTCAGTTCTCCAGCAGCCATGCAGTTAAAGGTGAGCTTAAAATAACAGACTTATGGAAGAAGTATTGTGTATCTGATCAGTTCTGAAGCAAGGATGCCAATAATGTTAAAGGGCAACCTGTTCCATTATTAGAAAAAGTGAAAAGCGTTTGCAGCTCCACATCCTGTATACAGAGTAAATGGTTTCCTGTCAACTTTCTTAAAGCCATGTAATATTGTCAGTAGTCAACATTATACCTCTAGCTAAAAAGAAGAACCATCTATCTTTGATATTTCAACAATGACATAAGCATGAAATCAAAACTTCAACTGCTTGACCCAGTGTTTAAGTTAACAAAACAATTTTTCTCACCTGACCTTCATCATTTGTACCAGGCAGTGCAACAGAAGGTTTTGTCACCTCTTAGTCTCATGCTGAGAATAATCTCAAAAATTGCTACAGTTATGTTTCTCCCTTGCTCCATAAAAACTTTGATTCTGAGGTACAGAGCAGCTAAAATGAATAGTGAAAAAATATAGATTTGAAAAATCTTAGGGAATTTTCAAACTCTAAGGGAGCAGGAGTTTCAAAACTTGAACTCAAAGCAGGAACAACACAATCAAAATATTTTAAGATGTAAAGGTTTCAGTTGTTGATGACTTTCAAGCATTTGGTTGTGCATTGTATGAAGTGCTGATACATTGATAGGGTTGTTCCTGGGTTATAGAGAGGAGCCTAAAGCTTCTGTGATAGTCTAATCCAATTCCAAAAGATAAATCAATTTGTGAAAAAATGGTCATGTAAGAGAAGATTTATTCATTTGCAAATTAATTGTACAATTGCTTTCCATATTTAGGTTCAACCCATTGAACCATCATTGGTTTCCACATTGAAAGCAAGACACGATATGTACCACTCAGTGGTATCTACTAGTGCACTGGTTTATGTTCAGCATCCTTCAGCCCAACTGTTTAACAGCTCAGTCACTATTACTTTACCCTGTCCTCCAAATCCAGAAAAAAAACGACAAGGACAGGAGACAGAACATGTGAGAGCCATTAGTGCTACAATAAAGAGGGTTGCTATGGCATACCATCCTTGGTAAGAACAACTTTACTACAAATTCAGCATTTTCAAAACATGAAAATTAATTAATTTTAATAGTTGCTGATGAATAATTTTTTATATTAAAAATGTTAGTTCCTTAATACAGCCTGCTATACTTAGAAACATTGTTAGAAATACTAGAGCGAATCCCCACAATTCTCATGCTACAGCTTCACTGGGAAAATTAGTATAGCATTTGATGTATAATCTTTAAATATGCTGACCACTGCTAAATGCTGTGTTTCTAGCAGGAATCAGGATGAAAAATTCATGGGTTTTTTTCTCCAAGAAATGTTAAGCCTTTTTCATCAAAGCCAAACGTTGAACATAGAGAATGACCACCTCTCAAAGCTGCTGTGATCATTGTTTTATCAGTTGATGGCTTGGCTACCTTGGCCTTTGAATTTTCTGGTCTTTAGTTCTACACATTCTAATGGCTACCTGAGTCAAAATTTATGAAACAACAGTTTGGAGTAGGTCACTTTTGTGGTAACTGCCACACTAGATTAAAGACCAGATTTTTTCCAAAACACTTACCAAAAAGTTTCTAAAATTTAGACCTTTTGGAATGTCTTTAAAAAGCATTAAAACATGGAAATTCCTAAAAAATTCTAGATTTCAGTTGTTAACTGGCAGTTCAACGAAATTTATCCATCATGCACATGAGAATATGCATAAAACATATTGGTGAGAAAAAGGCCAAAACTGACCTCATCTATTTTGACAGTCAGTTTTTATCATCTCATGCAGGAAAAAAATCAGTCTGAACTTACCATGTGATGTCCTTCCAGTTCTGCTACCATGGACAACTCCAGATTCAGAAAGTCTTACTGGGATTTCTTGGTAGGGAGTAGCTTAGGACAAGAGTCAGCTTTGAAGTACTTCTACTTTAGATCATTGAAGAATTAGCTCATTCCTACTGTACTAAACATTATCTTTTTCAAAATTAATGTACATATATCATGGTTTAACTCCAGCCAGCAACTAAGCACTATACAGCTGCTTGCTCGCTCTTCTCCAGTGGGATGTAGGAGAGAATCTGAAGAGTGAAAGTGAGAAAACCTATGAGTTGAGATAAAAAGCAGTTTAATAATTGAAATAAATTTAAACATAATATAAAAATTGTAACAAAAAGGAGAATAACAAAAAGAGAGAGAAAAAAACAACAAGAAAGACAAGTGATGCAAATGAAAAAAACCCCAATTGCTCACCACCAACCAACTGATGCCCAGCTGGTCACCAAGCAGTGGCCCACCAGCCAATTTTCCCCATAGTTTTTATGCTGAGCATGACATCATATGGTATCAAATATCCCTTTGATCAGTTGGCATCTGCTGTCCCAGCTGAGTCTTCTTCCAGCTTTTTGTGTGTCCCCAGCCTACTCACTGGTGGGGCTGTATGAGGAGCAGAAAAGGCCTTGCCTCTGTGTAAGTGCTGCTCAGCAATAACTAAAACATCCCTGAATTATCAATACTGTTTCCAGCACAAATCCAAAACACAGCCTCATACTAGCTACTATGAAGAAAATTTACTCTATCACAGCCAAAACCAGCAGGACATGCCAAGATTATAATTATCTCAAAAATAAGCAAGGTACAGATGGAGAAGGCAGACAGTGTGCTAGCTTCCATTTCTGAAAAACTTATCCAATGATGTTTTAAAGAAGTTACACTCACACTGATCTCTTAGACTATACATACACCTTTATCGCAAACTTCAGATTTGGGAAGGGTGCCAATGTCAGTTTATAGGAGATTCAAATTTAATTTCCTGTACCAGAAGCATTTCATTGTGTGGCAGTACCCTCATGGCATCTGTCTGTTCTTAATATAAGTTTAAAAGTGTCATAGCACTTCAGATTCTCAGTCAAAGCATATCCATGAAAAGACCATGGCTTGATTGCTTATTTCTATGTAAATTCCTTAGAAAATGATGCCAACATTTTTCTTTATTTGCATAAAGGCTGAGGCTGTAGGCTTGAGTAATGCTTAGGATGTCCTGTCTGGAGTATTTTCTTTTTTGGATTGTACATAGGGTGTGCATTTGAGGTGAATGGGTTATTCACATCTAGTTTTTAAAAATTGATAAGGAGAGGTGTGTGTGAGAGGAGAAGTATGTACTTCTGTAAAAAGAAAAAACTCAAGTTTCATTGGTTAGGATAAATTAGACAGAGCATGTCATGGCACAGTTGCTTGATTCTGAGTATTAAGCAGTATCAACAAGATATCAAAGTAATCACTTGATATGAAGAGAAGCTACTTTTATTTTCTCTATTGAACAAGATAATCGATAGCAGTCATGTCCTATTTTCTAAACTCCTTTGAGGTTATTGAGCAATATTTGCTTCCAGAAGAAAAGGTGGGTTGTGGTTTTTTTCCAGATATCAACTTCTAGAGAAGCTAGATCTTGATGAATGACTCAAAGTCAATCCATAATAATGACTGTGCTTGATATTAAAAGATAGATTAAACTAGATTCATTTAGATAGCAATCATTGTTACTCTCCCCCCACTTCCTGGAGAACTGGAAAAAAAAATGTCTCAACAATTCTATCACTTACATACTCTGGAGTATAGTTACAGATGTAGATTTTCAGTAAGGTGGGAAAAAAACATGTAGTCATCAAGGAAAGTAGAAGGGAAAGCACAGCTACAAATGCAAGCTTACTCTTTCTGCAGGATCTGTTTTTTATTGTATTTTTTCCTATAATTCCTTGGCTTTCCAGGGCTGTGAGTGCTTCTGTGAGAAAAAATGGGGAGAATCCCAGTGATTCTTTGAAATTATTGGGTCACAGAAACAAAGAAGAGGGATGGAAAGTATTTGATGATGTTATCATCCAGAATGCACGGAATGGGCTTGTATCATTTGAAATAAATGAACATTTAGAAAGGTAATGTATCAATAATTTAATAAAATTTTATTTGCTAAAATATTTAATTCCAAATATATTGATCCATGGAAATTAGTAGAGTTAAGAATCATCCACTATTTAATGATTAACTTGCCATCATATCTTTCTTCCAACCTGTGGTATAAGATCATTTAGATTTGTCACTCATAATTACAGAAAGTATAAATTTGTTTAAATATTTTTTCATCTATAGACTGTACACAATGTAATCGATACAAAACTTGAATCAGAAAATGCTGATATTAACCTTAATTTGAAAATGTAATCTAGCTCTACAAAACCATAATATTTTTTGGAACTTCTTATTAAGAAATATTCTCTTACTTTCATCTCAAATTCATATGTATTTGAATTCATAGATACAGATTCAATGTACTCTACACTAACAGAAGGCAGTAAATTTCCACCCTTTCATGGGTTGGAAACAAGAATGAAAAGGAGGTAGCAAAGGGTCCATTGGAGACTGAGCTCTATGTTATTTTGCATAATAAATTGTTAGCAGTTGATAAAATGATTTAAGATAGAGCTATTTATTTTCTTGCCTTTTTTTTTTTTTAATACAGCTTTGTTGTCGTTCGCCTTTCATTCCTCTTGGAAAATGTATATCTTCTCCTCTTCGCTCAGGCTCTGGAAGAAGCTGTTTGTAGCACAATGGCTAATGTCATACTGTATAGGAAAAGAGAAAACCCATATAAAATACTAGTTTTGCTATCTCCATCCAAAGAATTGACCTGTGAACTTCAAAGTCTCCATGAGGAGGGCTACTTTGGTCCCCCAGAACCTACACAGCAGTTCCCATTAAGAGAAGGAGAGCAGATCCATTTTAGATTTAGAGGCAATATTTGTGCTTCAGGTAAGGTAATTAATACATACATCTGGATGAACATTATCAATCACCTCAACGGTTCAGAAATACTGTATGTGAACATTAGTAGATTGTGGTTAGTCAGAGCACATTTAGTTATTTCAGTGTTTTATTTCTTGTAAATGATAGGCGTGTGGAACTACATGGGAAACTGCTCTAACTGAAAAATAAAATGTACTTGATGAACAAGATTCTGAGCAACCTGCTCTAGGTGACCCTGCTTTGAGCAGCGGGGTTGGACAAGATGATCTTCAGAGATGTTTTTGAATTTCTGCCATTCTGTGAAACCTGGTCCCTCAGAAATGGCTGATATCTTTTATTTCAAAATGGCAGGATTCCATCAATGGCTTTTTAATATAAAGATTATTTTATAGGAATTAAACAAATTCCAAAAAAAAAAGAAACAATCTGCTATTTTGTCTGTGTAAATTCACTTAAAGTGAGTGAGACTAAACACCAAAATCCAGGGCATAATGTTGCTTTTTGTTAATTGCACTATGAATTGGGGTGATAAGAGAGAGTTGTTATGCTGTTTCCATTACCAGCCTCGAAAATGCCTTGCAGTGGCTGCCACCATTCAGAGATTTGGTTAAAGGGAAAAGAGACAAGAAGCCTCAGAATAATTGTCACCCAAAATCACATATAGTCCTTTCTATCAGTTTTGGTCCTCTGAATATTTTGTACATAAACTCCCACTGAAAACTCTGTTTACCCTAAAGAAAAGATTATTCTTCAGAAAGAGAGGTCTCTAGCCCCCCCAAGAAATGCCTGCTCATATATGCAAAGGTTAGTTTGCATAGAGTTACCAATCAAAATGGAATTACAAATCCTAAAAATGCACCTACCCCTCCATTCTTTTTGTTGTTACAGATAGACAGATCTCCATCATGAATAACCATAAAGCATATACTTCTAATTGCGTTCAAAACACCATTTTCTTTTTATTTCTCTCTGTGTTATGTACTTTATCCCCTTCTGTCTTCCTTACTTTTCAACTTGTAGCACAGCCTTCACCACTTACTCTTATGCCAACAGTTCAGGGGCTAAGACAGTTAACTAGGAAGACATTTTTACTACTGAAGCAGGCTGGCAGGAATGTTTGAACATCAGATGTTCAATATAAAGTAATAATGATGATAAAGAACAACTGAATGTTATGTAATTAGTTTTATTTGACTCACCTCAATGAATTATTTTAGATGCCACACATCTAAATACAGTGTAAAAAATTTTTTTTTATTTTTATTTGGCTTGCAGAGAATGGAAAAGATTTTGGAAAAGCATACAGGCTGATTTTTCATTCACAAAGAAAACCCAGGCTGGAGCTTGAAATTAAAGAAGTGGATGAATTTGGTAACCACAGCTCACCTCATTACAAAGGAACAGCAGTTTTTTATAAAATTACCAGAGAGATGATAACCAAGGAATTGGAACAACGCTTGCCATATGGTGACTACCAACACCAGTCTCCACTGTGTAAACTAGCACTAACATTACCAAAGGTGGGTTTCTCACTTGATAATGTTAGAGATCTTTCCTTTTTTTCCCTTACCATATATTTATTAGGCAAAAGGATCTTGGTATGTTTTTTGCTTTACAGATATGCCTAGGAGTCACTGATGGAGAAGTTCTGATCTATCAGCAATGTATAAACACCCTCATAATTTCTCTTAGCATGTGGGAGGGACCCTCATCCAAGCATGAACATAGAAAAAATGTTTAGCAGAAGTTTTTCACCCAGTTGCTGTCCCCAGATGGTATGGCCCTGAGAAGTTATTACTTAAGTTTCAGTTATATACGTCTTGTATCCTTGTCTAGGAGTGCAGAATTGCAAATTGTAGGAGCATTAAATGGTTCATGTAACCTGTCTTTCTCCTATCACCTGATTTTTCTATTATGCCTGATAAGCCTCTACAATACAGCCATGTGGGCAATTATCTCAATCTCTGGTGAAAGCTATTCCTACATAAATTAATCTCTAATACTCCTGCAATGAAATCTCATTGTAATCTTTTCAAAGAGCCTAGGTATAAGCTCCCTATAATTGTATAAAAAGCTGCCACTAGATTACTGCTATCAAATTTGCATAAATTTTAATATAAGAATATGTACAGTAACCCTTGGTCTAAATCTCTTCTGACAAGCAGTAGCGTCTCTCTTTTTTTGAATTGAATTGACTTCACTCTTCCTTAAGGTATCACCTGCAAATATATCTTTTATTTCATAAACATACCTCTTGATTTCTCTCTCATCTCCATTCTCCCAAGTTTTTACTTAAAATCTTCTTCACTTAACTGTTCTTAATTCTTAAGGGGAGATCTTTTTTAGTGACAAGCTCCATAAGTTTTCTTTTGAGAATCACACGCTTTCAAGCACTTTGTTTTTCCACAGGGCTAGCATTCCATGCGCAGTATTCACAGAGAGGGAAATACAAACTCTTGAGGTCCAGTGGGATGATAAAAAATAAAATAAAATAAAATCTGTGGCATACCCTAGACATCAGTTATTTTTCTTCCATCTCCCTGTCTAGTTTCCATCCAGTTCTTCCACTTTATTTAATCTTACTGCATAATAAGATTTAAAGGATTGAACTGCATTTGTATTAAACCACAAGGGTAATTATCAAGGGTCTTAGTTTTGGGTTGGCATATATGTTCTATTGCTATACATATTAGTCCTTAAATGTTCTATTCAGACTTTTCAAAATATTCAAATTTTCAAATATTTCTGACTACTCCTTTTATCCTACTAGATTTAAGGCCATGTTTCCTCTTTCCCAATGTGGCAGAGATCTTGGAGTCTGGTCAGTCTGTGTAAGTGTGTAAGGATATATAATATATGTGGGTACACACCAGCACTCAGGCAGCCTACTCATTTAAACGGAAATAAACAGAGGATAACATCACCATTGCTGGTAAATTGTAAATATTATTAGAAATTAAGTCAAACCTCAGGAATTGTGATTTGGGAATATTGGGTTATTTGGGGAATATTTTCTCTATAACTATTTTTTAGTAGTGGTTCTACTTCTAAATTAATCAGTCCAAGCACAGAGGACACAAGTTTGATGCAGAAAAAGTCTGCTTAGAGAGACAGAGTTATTATATCATTTCAGAAAATCACTGTTGCAGCATCTTGCAAATAATTTTTCTTTTGCTTCTGGTAAATATATTTTAAGAGGTGCATTTCAAAGGAGTCCGAATCTTTGTTAAATGCAAATATGAGGCCAAAAAAAAGCAATCAAAATGCTTGAAAGCATTTGCATATTGATAGCTTTTTCATTACGTGATTTGTATTTTCTGTCTTGCACAGAATGAAATACCTCTCTGTACAATGAAGAATAGTATCAAAATATCATCTTCCCTTATGTTGCAAGTCATCTTAGTACATAACATTTTATACTTTGCTATAGTTAGTGAACCCTGATACTTTTTGATCTATCTGGGATAGATATCTTGGGCCTGATGGGATCCACCCGAGAGTACTGAGAGAGCTGGCGGAGGAGCTTGCCAGGCCACTCTCCATCATTTTTCAGCAGTCCTGGTTAACAGGGGAGGTCCCAGAAGACTGGAGGCTTGCCAATGTGACGCCAGTCTACAAGAAAGGCCGGAAGGAGGATCCTGGGAACTACAGGCCTGTCAGCCTGACCTCTGTACCGGGGAAGATTATGGAGCGGTTGGTCTTGAGAGTGCTCACAGGGCACCTGCAGGACAACCAAGGGATCAGGCCCAGCCAGCATGGGTTCATGAAAGGCAGGTCCTGCTTGACCAACCTCCTTCTATGACCAGGTGACCCATCTGGTGGATGAGGGAAAGACTGTGGACGACGTCTACCTGGACAACGTTGTCGTCCTGGCCTGTATCAGGAATAGTGTGGCCAGCAGGAGTAGGGAAGTGTTTGTGCCCCTGTACTCGGCACTGGTGAGGCCACACCTTGAATCCTGTGTTCAGTTTTGGGCCCCTCACTACAAGAAGGACATTGAGGTGCTGGAGCGTGTCCAGAGAAGGGCAACGAAGCTGGTGAGGGGTCTGGAGCACAAGTCTTATGAGGAGCGGCTGAGGGAACTGGGGTTGTTTAGCCTGGAGAAGAGGAGGCTGAGAGGAGACCTCATCGCTCTCTACAACTCCCTGAAAGGGGGTTGTGGCGACGAGGGTGTTGGCCTCTTCTCCCAAGTAACTAGTGATAGGACAAGAGGAAATGGCCTCAAGTTGCACCAGGGGAGGTTTAGATTGGATATTAGGAAAAATTTCTTCACTGAGAGGGTGGTCAGGCATTGGAACAGGCTGCCCAGGGAGGTGGTGGAGTCGCCATCTCTGGAGGGGTTCAAGAAACGTGTGGATGTGGCGCTTCAGGACATGGTTTAGGCGACATGGTGGCGCTGGATTAATGGTTGGACTTGATGATCTTGAAGGTCCTTTCCAACCTAGTGTTTCTATGATTTCTGTGATTTCTGTGATTTCTGTGATCTTCCATCCATCCAGCGTAATAATTTAAAATTGATGCCTTAATTCATTTTTTTGAGAGAAGAAATATTCCTTAATAATTAGCTAGTTCAGTTATAATGTTTTTGAAGAGTTATAAAACATTAATGAAGCTGATTATTTTACTTTAGTGAATAATTAGTAAAATAAATACAATATAGCTTACTGTTAGTATACAAATACATAAGGCAAATGGGAATTTTACCCACACCACTGTCTGGTGGTATATAACATTCACTAACACAAGGTTACGATGTTGTTCACTGTTTTGTTCTTCATACCCTGTTCCAGCCAAGTAAATCTTGAATTCCATAATGACCAAACTCACATAAATTTTAAGAACAAAAAATGTCGTCTTTTGGCTTGTTTGCTGGCTGAAAGATAGGGGGAAAAAAGTAGGAAAAAGTGGTTTGTTTTCTCAAGGGAAGACGATTACTAGTAAAGTCCCACATGGATCCATGTTAACATGCTAACATCAGAAAGTTTTGAATAATTAAGTGAAAAGTCTGATGACAGTACAAAATATTCAGAGTACTAAAGTTGTCTGTGAAGAATCACAGAATATGATGGTACTGAGCAACCAGAAAATAAACTAGATAATTTACATGCCGATAAGTGTGTTGTTGGGATGGAAGTACATATCTAATTTTATACCGATAGACTCCAAATTGCCTATTACCACTCAAGATAAAAATCTTTGGTCATTTGCTCTATGAAAACTTCCAAAACACTCACCAGCAAATAAAAAGGTAAGCAGAATGTTCCAAATTATTCGAGAACAAAAATGAAAGCAAGATTATGCAATATATCTATGAGGCATCCACATCATGACTGCACTCTGCAGTTCAGGTCGCAGAACTCAGAGGATTTGGAAGAGGAAAGAAAGAAGATGATCAGAAACATGGCGTTGTTCTAGGTACATTGACAGTACATAGACAGTACATTGATGAAAACAGTTCAGGCAGTTTCAACAGAAGTTGAAATTTTGCATACACTTATGAATATTATGGAGGAACTGAAAAAGGAGTTATTATATCATCTTTCACAGGACAGAACAATGATATTGGTAAGTGGTAGGTGTAACTAGTAATATAAAAGAACATATATTTACATACAAAAAATAATCAAAAGATGAACTCATTTTCACAGGATATTTGCAACAGTTAAAAATGTGTTTGAGCTAGAAAAGGAGTTGACTAGAAGAGAGACAGAACCATATATTAAACTTAATGATCTAGATGCAACTAAGTGCCAGAGCAATGAAAAGGAAATTCTAATTACTTACTATATCTTACTATGTGTTCTAAAATTATTAACAATGATAAAAGCACTGACAGTAAAAATTAACATAAGAACTTTTATCCCGTTTTTACTCTCCATAATCTGATCAATATATTCGAGTCAGATATATCTTCACATTTAGGTGGGCTTTCTAATGATTAAGAGAAATAGAAGGAAATAGTTAAAATTGGATGAGAAAGCACAGTTATGGAGAAATCAAATGCACTAATTATACAACCAACTACACCAGCCATCTGTCAAATGCAACTGCTATTTACCACTTCATTAAACTACAGGTCTTGCATTAATGTTCATATAATATGAACCGAGACTGGCACTGTCCATGATTAGTCATATGCTGATGCTATTAATATATATTGCCAAAGCACCGAGACTCATCTGACCACTTTCATGTGCGTAGACATACACTCAAGCAATGTTTCTTCAATTTTGCTAGTTTCTACCACATGTGTACTACTACAGTACAGCAATTAAGCTGCCACAAATCTCACAAGTATATCAAAACATAAAGCTGTGTTCATTATCTGACCTATTGGTAATGCCATGTTGTTTACAGTATTGCTTACACTAACACAGCTGCCTAGAGAATTCCAGTTGTCACAGTAAGGCTCTTACATCTTAATTGTGAATTAGTTGACTTTAAGTTGTAACGTTTTTGATGGACTTCTCACTTGATCCCAGTATGCTGGGGGAGCCTTGCATGGTCTGGGAATAAAATCCCCAAAATAGCAGTAAATGCAGGGCAAGAACAACAAAGGCTATTTACATTTCTACTGCTTTGTTGAGTTAATAAATATCTTAAGTTTAGTTTAACAATGTTAACGGATTAGGCTTAATACACATGAGACCAGAAACACTCAGTGTTGCCATTAACAATAGCAATTTTCTCCACAAAATGAAATGAAGTTTTGGCTTTTGTTGTTGTTGTTGTTGTTTGCCAGATGATAAAGTTAAAACCATCCACACAGTGCCTGGTTTTGGTTATGATAAAGACATATGGAATCTTTTTAAGGCAATCAATCTGACTACATTTTCACTCATTTCTGTGAAATTCCCACCTAAATTTATCTTGAATGGTGGAGAGAAGACAGTAACTATATGGATTATAAGCCATTTTTATATGTATGTTCCCACATTATCCACTATCTTACAAATATATTTCTGACAGTGGTGAAAGCAGGGTTTGTTTACTTTCTATGCAACCATTTAAATCAGTTTCTAGTTTAAACATTCTACACTTGTACAAAAGCAGCTGATCTTCACTAACGATTCCTATTTATGGAGCTTTCATTTCCTCAGCATTAGAAAACACTGGTTGGTCAAACTTGTTATTTTCAACACAAGTTAAATAGACTAGATCAGGTTCTGACATCAAGGTATGTGTGTGCATATCAGTAATACTTCTACTGATTTCAAAGCAGTTGTATTTATGTGAAACTGAGCTAAAGAGTTTGAAAGCTTAATTTCTCGTTTTCTCTCTGTCCTGTTTGATATGCTAGTGGAGTCTGCTCATGTCTGAGAGGTCCATTTGACAGAGCACTTCTGGCTGAAATCAGAGTGCTTTGCAAAAAGACATTGTTGTAATACATACAAGCATTATCAAATTACTATTCTGCTGAAGTTTTATGTCTAATGACTGTCTAACAGCAAAATAGCATGTGATCCTCTGCTTCAGAAAGGCAGCTGCTTAGCTAATTGAAAGGCCTTACAGACTAGAAAACTGCTTTGACCGCTAAGAGTATTTTACTTACGCTGTCAACCAGAACAGTGGGGCTACATGCCAGTGCAGCTGAACTGTGGGTGAATTTAGCGCTTCACCACAGATATTTAATCTTTAAAGGCAGATTTAATGTTTTAGATCTAATGCATTGTATATTATTACACTATTTCTAGACAATACTCATTTTTAATTCTTATCATTTTTTACTACTATTTTAATGTTAAGTAGCATAAAGTGGTTCAGATTAAAGTCAATGCATGGGTAATTGAGTTCATCTACAATAACTTTGAAAATCTCATACAGACCTTTGAGGTGCTAAATTCTCGTTAATGAATGAAAATAAGTTTAAATACAAATGTATAATTAAACAAAGCCAAAGAAAGCTGTCTTGGAAGAAAAACAATGCCCCCTTCTGGAAGAGCTTTATATCCCTTTTATTTTGAGGGATTGTTTTAGCCATGTTATGCCATCTTCACGCTAGGGCACATCCAGTGACAGAATTGCTGTAGAAGCACCCAAGACGAGGCGGATTCAGATATCAAGATGAGTACAGCACAGGATGGTTTTGCACTGCCGAGCAGTGCATACTGTGTGCATCCTGTGCATGCTGAAACTCCCTACCAAGATGACTGAGTGCAGGCCTGATGAAAAGTTGTTAAATTCACGGGTTAATAGGTAACAGTGATGATTATATTGACCTTTTGGATGTGTAGCTCAGTACATATGAAACACTCCAAATAGCATACAGTATATAAAATCTGTATTATAAAAGTATTTAAGGCAAGCTCAGCAAGGCTTAGTATGCCTAGCAGGAAAAGGGGAGTAATTTAGCCAGAGTTTCATGCTCTGAATTCACAAATGGAAAAAAGAAGCTCAGCGAATAAAACTGGAGCAAGTTTCACAGGGAAAGCTGTGCATAAACAGCCAGGTAATACAACTAAATGTGTGTGACAAAAGTAACATGGGCCCTAAAAGTGGACAATTACAGCTTTTAACAAGAAAAGAACTGAACTTCACTTGATACAAATTAATCTCTCCTTCTGCTCAGTGCTTATGTAATTTCTTGTTCTACATGGAGTAGGAAATAACAGTAAAGCCCACAGGCCTTTCCTCTTTCTCAGTCATATGGAAAAAGGACAAAGTTTTGTTTGGTTTTTTTTTGCCAGTATTCAAAGGAAGAGAGGAGGATCTCTGTACTTTCTAATGAACTTGTCCTTTGAATTCTGATTATTATTAGTGATTTATAATTAAAAGTTGAACTCTGTAAAATTAATAACTACAGCTACAAACATAGTACAATTTCTAGACCTAACAATAGCTGCTGCATACCTAGAAACTCTTATTTTCCTCGAAACAGTATGGTATGCACACAGTTATAACAAGAACACAGGCACAGCAAGGCAAAGTTAATGCATTATTCAAAATTAGAATCTATTTCATGTACACAGGTTCCATACAGATTTTCTATACACTCAATTTCTAAACACCAGTCATGACATAATGCTACTGATCAAACATTTATAAAATTGCATAAATTATTAACTTTTTAATAAGGTGCAATAAACATCCATTTGGTGTAAATGTACTTACGTTAATTATTTTAATAGCTGTATACTGATCTTTACCTGCTGATGGTGTTAACTGTGTTAACTGGTTTTTAATAATGACACAATCCTCTGTGTAGGTAGGACCCATCTTAAATGCTGATTTACTACAATCCACCCCAATGTCCTATATCTCATCCTTTACTCATTTAGTCATTTCTCTTTCCTCAACACATTTTCTCTGATAGCATGAAAAGTTGATCAACCGTCCACGAAGCACAAAAAGAATTTCTTCTGATTCATCGGGTAAGAACACATACATAATATATTAATATCAATAAAAATAATAGTTATATTTGCTATTTACCTTAATTAAATGCCAAGATTTGTTTCAGCTGTAACTGACATTTTAAAACGCTATATTCATGAACCAAAGTAGTGTTAAAAGATATTAAAAGAAAAATAAAATTACCTGTTTACCAGGAAATGCAAAAGCTCTTGTGTGATAATGTTGTGGTGGGATGCTTGAGCACCATATGATTTTCTGTATAAGGAGATTCAGTTTGTACTGGGAAGCTCTGGTATAAGTTGTGTATCAGTCATAAGAAATGCCCAAATCCTTTTATTTTATGCTAGATTTCCCCATGCAGTTCCAAAAGTTATAGATCATTGCTGAATCTATTCTTGACTAAACTAACTTGATGTCTCAGTGCAGTTACTAAAAATTACATTAGAAATAAGAAGTGATGATGTTTTCATTGAAGTAAAAACCAAACTATATTTAGTTGGGGAGTTTACCCACTGAGCCTCCAGCTTTAGAAAGCTTTTCAAAAGGAAGAAAGATTTACATAGCAGAATAATAATGCTCTTAATTTACTAATTTTTGCCCTTCAGAAGCCCTGTGGGACAACTTGTTATATTGGCTTGCAGAAGAACTTGCAGAAGATAATACATCATTGCTTGCTTTACGCTTACCTGTTCGGCAGAGCGTACTTCAGCTTGTTAGGCTGAAGTGCCCTGATGATTTAACACAACAGATCTATGAGCTGCTTTGCTGCTGGAAAAAGACCCTTCCAAGGTCAGCTGATAAACAGCAGCTCCTGTCTCGCTATTTGCGGAAGAGTGGCAGAAGTGATCTTTCAGAGGAACTTCGTTTTAAGTGGCAAAATAAAGTGTTCACTTGATGGAATCACTGGCAGCTAACAGCCCTATTTCTCTTTGTTGTTGAAAGGTGTGAATATTTCTATGATATCTTTGGATGAAAAAGTGACAGAGATACCAGTCAGGGACCAGACTGCTTATTTATTTGTTACTCTGCAACCTCCGTACTAAAGCAAAGTATAATAGCAATGTCTTTCCTTGCTAAAAATGAATATTTCTCCTGTGGAAAAGTGAGATATTGAAAATACAGGTATGAAGGATTATCAACTGGTCTGTATAGGTTTCTAAGGACTTTACTTGTTTCCACATACCATACCCAATGGACATAGAATCATATTTCTACTTACTTTAAACACTAGGAATTATTTACTATACTTTATACACTTTATACAAAATCTTATGAATCGTTCCATGACATATAGATTACTCTACATCTAGTAATAATAGATGCCAGGTTCGTCAGAGGAAAGCATAATAGATCATTATAAAGAACAGACAGAGGAAATTTCTTACTTTAAGGTTTGTTAGTAATTAATCCTGACTTTTATATTCTCAGTGAATGTTTTTTATCCTTGTGAATGTCATAGCAGATTTCAGTGTTACCACATAAGAATATCTAATCTGTTTCCAGAATTTACCAGGTTTGTTACCTCACTTTTATCTATCTATCTATCTGGTAATGGGGTTTTTCAGGTTACCATCAAATTTGGAAAAAGGAGTATTTCTTCATATAAGTTTTAAAATGTAGTGCTTTGAAATGTCATTCATTATACTGGGTTCTTGTATTGAAGGTACAGATAGTAAACCAGGTGTATTTCTGTCATTCCTTAGCCATGTGTATTAACCTCTAAAAACTAATTTCTTTCCAGAATGCTAAGTAAGACTAACCTAGTTTTTAAAAGTCAGAGCAATAGCAGAGTTGGACTTTTATAACTGTGTTTCTACTGAAATAATATTCTAATTGATGGTCTTCTGTTAGTTGCTCCTATATTGCAATGCACCCCGTAGGACACACCACAAATTTATCCAAAACCAAACTTTGACATTTCTGTTAAAGTCTCCACGTAGCTGGCAAGTGCCAGTGAATCACATAATTCTGGGACAAAACTGACTACTTGGTATTTACGCATACAAATATCAGTTTGTGACTACACAGGCTGTCACATCTGTGTGGTTTCCCTACTGCTCTAGCAAAGTGCAATATATGAAGTTCTTTCAAGTCCACCTGTGCATACTTATTTTTCAGTTAACGTTTTTCTTCTGGATTCAATGCACCATTTATTTTCCTCTTTCACCCCCCCCAATAATATCGTATAAACTTTAAATATTAATCTAAATATGAAAGGTATTAATCTAAATTTTTTTAATCTTTAGGCTACTTAGAATCCCTGCGTGTCTTGCTGAAAAATCTTAATTGTGATACACATTGCTAGTCTGGATATTTTATTTTCAGAAGTCATATATTTGCAACATTTCCAAATTACTACTATAAATAAGAAAATTACATTGCAAAAGAAAAGATAAATAGGAATGAATTAGTTTAATTTGTCTATTCAGTAATGTCTCACCCTGTAGGATTATCAGTTTTTAATTGTAAAGACAGAATATATGAGGAACTTAACCCCTTCACTGTGACATAACCATCCTTTCCTTTTAATTTTTTTTTCTGTAAAGATGTTTTTTAAATGTAAACTGGCTTCTTATTAGCAGAAAACATTATCAAACTTTTCTCAGTGCCCTAACACATTTTGTCATCAGATCTTTTGTCTTCAGTGCCTTCTCTTTAGGAATGGATATTCCACTGCAGGCTCAGCAGATACTGTCACAATGTGCGTATATTATGATCATGCTTCAGTGTATGATGGTACTACAAATAATACTGGAAATGTTGCAAAAATTTGCTAATTTTTCCATCTAAATTAGCATGTTAACAGAACGAACAACATTCTGCCACAAGATGGCCTCTGTGTCTAAGAAAAACGTAATGCCTGTATTTCACATGCTGAAAAATATGTGAATAAAACACTGCTAAAAACTAAAAGCCATCTGTAAAGATCTGGATACTCCACTGTACAGCATCATTAACATTAGTGCAAAGCATCAGAATTGTGGGCACTTCAGTAGCATCTATACAATGGGAACAACTGCATTCAGTCTCCTCTTCTTAGGAATATGAGATTATTTTTTACATTGATTGAACGATAAAATTATATTAAATTTGCTCATGTTAAAAGCTCATTTTTATTCGTGGAAAACATTAGTCAAGTGATTAAACAAACAATATATTTTATTAAAGAGTGGGAAAAGCCTAATAAGTTATACTAAAAATGTTTATTTTTTTAATCTAACTACACAAATTCATCTCGCTCTTTTCTCAAGAGGTAAGCATTAGGCCCACTAGTCACTCTTCTCTTCTTGCAGTAACACTCACAGTCTAAAAGTAGTAACTAGTCTTACTGTGGCCCAGCAAAGCGGGGTTGGCTGGTGATGTGCTTTTCCTCTGTTCCTCTCCCTCTTCACCTCTGCCACCAGTTCTGCCTTGTGCCTGGCCTTTCCCTGTTAGCTGTGCTCAGTAACCTTCATGGCTTCTATTCCCACTTTTTTGTTATTTCAGCTCTTGGAAGAGCATGGGTAGCACTGAGCACACAGTTTTTCAGCTTACAAAAACTTAACAGAACAGCATATTTAAAATGCACATTTTAACAAAAAATATGTCTAAACAAGTCCTGCAAAGCAAACAGGCTTATGCCTGCCCACTTCGATTCCTTTGCACTGCCAGGTGCCCACAGACAGCACCCTCCTTCTCTAGGTCTCCCTGACCCCAGGGACTCCTGGTAGGAGGACGGAATATGGGGGATTTCCCTTCATGTTAGGTCTCAACCAAGAGGTTTATATACAGAGATTCTTCCCCCTCTAAAGTTCATAGTCTGTAAACAAAGCCTCCAAGCAAAAGAAATTTCAGACCAAAATATGGTCTTCAATGCAACAGAACAGTGACAGCAGCAGCAATTAGATCCCAAAGTGTAGCACTTTCTGGCTAAAGTAAATGAAAATCAAGCTTTAGCAGCATCCAAACAGACCTTGTTGAAACAGGAGGAGCAATGGAACGTCAACCGAGACAGCTCTCAATCCTTACAGAAGGATGAATATCTGACTGTTCTGTTTCTTTCCAAATAGCAAATGCCAGTCACAGGCTGATATGACTGGACTATTGCTGTGGAAAATCCAATTTCTTATCTAGCATCAAAGCTGTCATTTATTTGCTTTTCATTTAATCAAATATTGTCTCCTAGATGAAAGGGTTCCCTCAGTGAGATTTAGACTCACTGAAGTGAAATCAAAATGTAGGAAAGAATGTGGTCTACGTAGGACAAATCTGCTATGTGTTTTTATTGGCTGTAAAAAATATGCAGGACAGAGGAAAATCTGAGCTTTATTGCTTAGAATGGGTATGTTTTCTACCCCTGTATAAAAGGTGATGCTGCATATTTCTGCTAAACAGTGAAGGCAACTGAACGGAAAACGAGCTGAGATAGGAAGCCAGTTGCTCATGAAGAAACCACCTAGACAACTCTAATTTGGCTGACTGAATACAGAAGCAAATTATTTAAATACTGAACAGTTAAGCAGAAAAGAAAGGAAGGGACACATATATTCCTTTTGCTTCCTTGTTGCAGGATGAAGCAACAATGATTGTTGCCAACTATATCTGAGACTGATGGAGTGCAAAGACATAAAGCAGACTTTGCATATTCAACATTTAAAATACAAATTCTCTTTACTTAGTGAAACAGGGCTCAATAAGCAGGATCAGTAAGCTGTTGTGTTCAACAGATGGGTTTAATTAAAAAAAAATTAAGATGGCATTTATTCAATCTCCCTTGGAAAAATTAGTTATTTTATCCTTTCAATAGTCCTGGGAGAAGTAATGTTTTCATAGAAATAACTATCTGTAGCAAAATCATCTTTGAGCATGAGTGTCTTAGCTTAAAAGCTGCTTCCAAGCACAGTGTGAGGGAGCTCACATGCAGAGCTGTTTGGTGGGGGACCTCAGTGGAGGCTCCTTCCAGCTCTTCTCAACAACTCGTTTCAGTCAGCTAATCTTAAGTGCAATGAGGTAAACCCCTGAAAGGGCAGGAGCATTCAGGAATCTGGCATAAAATAGCCCAGTTGAAACCACTCCTTTATTTCCATATAATCATTACTTTAAGAAACAACAAAAAGTCCTTGAGCATCTCTGATGCATCTCAGAAAAGTTCTCAACGAAAAAAACACATTATCTGCAGTTCCTCTGGTTCTAGGCAGTAGAGGAGTTTGAATGTATGTCTGAATACCAGCTACCAGCCTGTTCTGAGACTCCTTTAAAGTTGTCTTTTTCATGAAGATGCTAGAATATTATCTTTAATGACTCTGCCTACCCATTAATTATGGACTCATTAATATATCAGTAGAAACAAGGTCTTTGCATGATGCTCTGAAAATACACTTAGGAGGTCTCCCAATAATTTTAGACAGTGTAGACATTTGGAAAAATGCAAGCACACCTATTTATTTCATCTGAGCTGAAATTGGGTTGAATAATATCATACACAAAGATTGTTACGGAGCTGAAAGAATTTAATGGCAAATTTCCTTGTAAATAAACATAATTCTTTTCTTCAGAAAAGAAGAATCATTAATATGATTACTAGATAAACTCTAAAACAGAAAGTGCAACTTTAAGGTTGATTCCTCATATTGTATTTCATGTTCTCCCAGGAAACACTCAACAGTCTTTCTCAGTTGTCACAACTTAATCTACAGAAAAAAAAATTCCCAAAGACCTCCATCCCAAATACCCAACTCAGTTTTTGCAACTGCCTGCATCATTACAAGACTCTGATAAACTTAAAAACGTCGCCTTACTACTTCTATTACTTTATTAATGTCTTGTTTTAATATAAATCCATTTATAATCTGGCAATTGTTAATACAGACTGATATGAGAACAATTTTCCCATATACCATTAGAGGTTAACAAAAG